TTTTCCTGGGGCTGCAATCATGCTATGTTGTGTTCCAGCAGGGATTAATCCTCTGAAAGGCTGGCTTACTTGTGCAGGACGAGTCAGGCTCTGGGCCTGAGCCTGTGGGGTGGTATGCTGTAATGGGGGCTGAAGAGTCTGAGGCAAGGCAATTAGAGGTTGCCCAGTAGATCCAAAATTAGGTAAGGAAAGCTGGGAGGCTGGCAAAGGTACTGTAACCTAGAACAAAAGCAAATAGAAAAGCCCAACACCTTTATATCCATTGTATACACATCCCAAACAGACAAGCATACAACTCTTAAACACTCTCAGGAAGATTTTAGTAAGTAGAATGTTATTCTACTAAGTTATCTCAAAAGACAACTTTTCCTTAGTGATTATCTCCATTGTTTTACTGAATATGCAAACTACAAAACAGATCAGGTATTGCTACCTGGACTACAGAAACAAAACAAAAATTCCTTGAGTAATACATGTCAAATAACTGCAAACAACAAAATCATAGGGCTATAAATGAAATCGAACATCTATAAACAAATAGTGGAATCAAAAGAACGGACAATATTTAATCTGAATGACAATAAAAATATTTATGAATTGGCACCGTACCCAAGAAAAACCACCAAAAGCAGTTAAGGGAAAATGACTGATGGTTAGTTTCTCTTCTCTAGCGCCTCCAACAACTTTTAAAGGGGATGTGGAATAACGGCAGCACTAAAAGAGGCAGTGGTAACACACAGGCACACTTTCCATGGAAGTGGAAAAATACTGCCTTTATGTATGCTTAATAAGGGTGCTTGTCATTTATACCCTGCCACATTCTTTTCTTTCTTTTTTTTTTTAATTTATTTTATTATTTTTTGGGTGTACCATCAAATCAGATCTGACTGGTAGAGGAGGAGATTGCCCCTTCTCCAGCAAAGCATCTGGTGGATTTGAACCATGCACCTCTGGGATTGCAGTGCAGGTTCTTGCTACTAGGCCACCAGAGCTCCCTTATACCCTGTCACATTCTTATGTGGTCTACTGGTCTTTAGTAACTCCTTCCAACTGTTACATTAATGAGAAAAAAACATGGCCCACACTTACATATAAGTGTGCAGTCTGGAAAATAGTGTTTAAACATTTCTTGTGCTAAAAGACATTATTACATGGAAATGCAATTATTTTTTAAAAAGGAACTTAAAACTAGAATGACCAAAGGAGTGGGGAGAGGGGTTGGTGGTGTGGAAGTGAAGCACTTTCTATTCTCAGTGCTTTTCATGGCTTGGAAAATTCTTAGAACACCTCAGAGAAAAATCACTAAACTACGCCTGCATCTTGTTTCTACTTAAATTCTGAAACAAAAGCTATAAAAATATAATAATAAAGAAGAATTGAGGAAATTTACCATGCCATAGTTTACCTGCTGGAGAGCACTTGGTGACTGGGCAGTGTTATAAAAGTTTGTCTGTCCAGGTTGCTGTACTTGTCCAGAATACAGATTTGAAGCTGGTGTAAGATTTGCTCTAGCCTAGGAAGAATTTTTTAAGAAAAGCACAATAAGATTCACTGAATGAATCCACCTCATAGAAGGTCTTCCTCTCCTGAGCTGTCCCTCTACCCTACCAAGCATGATGTCCCTCTCTCCAAGGACCTGTCCCTCCTTACAACATGTCCAAAGTATGTCAGACGAAGCCCCAGAATCCTTGCTTCCAAGGGATAGCCTAGTTTAACCCTCTCCAGGATGAATCTGTTTGTTTTCTTGGCAGTCCA